TAACGTCATAGTCAGGTTACATTGCAGACCCCTAGAGAGTCACAGATTCCAGCCATTTTGAATGAGCCGACTGATTCCTTGGGAACATGTCGCCCCTGCTTCAATCAGGAATCTCAGTGCTATAAGAACCGGGGCACATCACTCCTGTTCCTCTTCTTCTTAAGGTTGACACTTTCCATGGAGGGTCCGTATTTGAAGAAGAACGAGCCGAAGGTGCGTCTATCCTTTTTGGAACAGTGCAGGGGAAGGGCTGAAAGGGTTCATGGATGGGAAAGGCATACTAAGCCAGACTCCTCCCGTGTAATCAGGAAAGGCTTGTGCCTCTAACAGGACAACTCTTATCGAACGCCTCTCATTCATGCAGACCCTCTCTCACACCTATAGCAAAAAAATGTGTCAAGCTTCTGTTCATTTCGGCGGTACATTTTCTCCCTTTGAAGGGCAATGAATATTAAAGCAAAAGGAAAAAGAAAATGAACCTGTAGTAGTAACTGGTATCGCATTACTCTTTGAACAGGACAGATCAGATGATGGGAAAGTGGAAGGCCTTCACATTCGCTAACTTTCTGAAAATTGCTAGATTTTCTACTCGTTTCTTCTAGCACACGTTATTATGAGCGCGGTTATTTGACAGCAATAAAAATAATAAGTGCAGCGCTGCAGATGACGGGGCGGGTCAGTTAGGATGGATTTGGCGCGCCGCCAGCTTCAGCAGTTGTTAGGGCAGGTAAGTGACAATAATTGGTGGAAAAGTACTGATACGAACATTATGATACAATCCTGTCGCTTATCGAAAGGAAAAACAAAAAAGGGTCCGCGCCGCGGCAAACTCATCGCCCTGTTGACATACCCCATAATCCGAAGCTAACAAGACTCTGAGAACGCAATGATGCACAAATATTTACTCGAAATCCCTGAGATCGGGTAGGCGTGGCTGCATGCTTCAACTTAACCTGAAGGTGTCTATGCTTCTGGTGAGATATTTTCATCTTGACACAATTGTTGTCGTGTCTCTGTCCAACACAGAACAAGATGACAGTTGTCCCAGACTGGAATATTCCACGAGTAACCAGTTCCGTGCCATGTTCAAATGCCACGCCTACTCTGGCTCAGGGATAAGGAGTGTATATA